AGGATAAAGAATTCTATGCTTCTCATGTTTGCACATAAGTCCAAAAATCTCACCATATACAACCTTGAAGCAGGACAGTCCCACAATATTTCTTTTCTTAAAACTGACTTCAATCACAGAAGGCAGGATTAAGCAGAGGAGGTAAGGTTTCCTGTTACTTTCCCAATTTATTTGACCCCACATCCAATCCCATCATTTTTGCCAGGAAACAGTCACAAAGCATTATGAAAATGAGGTGGGTTTTTTTTTTTCTCGATGTAGATTTCAGTCCAAGGTCCCTGCTGTAGTATAGGTCTAGACTATACTACAAGAACCTCCTGTGTAGACTTGGAAGGCAACTGCACAGTGGGGCTTACAGGTCCTGCTGTTAGGAGGTAGGACTGGCTGAAAGAGGAGGGTCATCGGGCTGTCCTCTGGCAACACTTATCTGCCTCCCAGCTGTGCCCTTCATTCTCCTTACTTTCTGGCCACCAGGACAGGAGCATCTTCTCCTCTGCAGGCGCCTCTGCAACACTGCCCTGTCTTGGAGCCAGCAAACAGTGGCCTCAGACCTCTACAAACTGGGAGGCAAGATGAAAACTCTTCTTTAAAATGTGGGTGTAAGATGTTATGTCCCAGCACAAGAACATGACTAAGATACCTCTCTACAAAGGCACACCCATTTCCCATTTAAAAAGCACATAAAAGTCCAAACCTATAAAACCAGATTAACTCTAAGCAAAGTATGGGAAGCAGCCCTGCAAACCCCAGCCAAGGTTCCTCATGCAGCATCCGGACTTGTCCTGCCAGCTACACATTCTGTGTCCCTTCCTGGGTGTATACATCACCCTGCTAATTCCACACCATCAGCTAAAATGCTGGTGCAAAGTGGGATAGAAATGAACAACCCTTTTGTATCTGTATACTCAAAATAGTCAGGACAAACATACAGCTCCACTCTCTTAATTCAATGAATAGAGAGGTTTGTTATAATAGTGTTTGAGACAGAATATCATGGCTGCGTCTTGTACGATGAATAATCACTAAGACAACAATATGCAATGCATTAATTATTGAAAAGGTGCCAGTAATTGGTTGTAAAACTGTCTCACTGATATTTGTTTCTCAAAAAATTATTTAAAAAATTACGGTACCTTTTGATATAAAGTA